CCGATACATATCTAATCCTTTTCAACCTGCTTATAAGGCAACCTCATCATACCGTCCCCTCCATAAACTTATCAAGCTCAGTCTTGAAGCCAGTCAGGGGTCCTGCGCTGCATTTTACCTCTCCTGGAACTGGCCTTCTTAAAACCCTTTATAAACCCAGAGGAGAAATTGTCCAGCTTGTACCCTCGGCCCCCCAAACCTCCTCCTCTCCCATCCTCTGCTGCTGTATGTGCTGATACACAGGTATTTTGCATTCCAAACCAGATGGCGTTAAAGGCAACACCCTGATTCGTATTGGCACTGCGCCCAGCATTTTCGAACTGCTCTCTGCCTGTGAGTCCTTCAAGGAGATCATCGTCACACAGAATACGGATCAGAACTGTCAGGAACTGCAGAAATGGCTAAAGAGAGAGCCGGGAGCGTTTAACTGGACTCCGGTGGTGAAATACGCGTGTGAGCTGGAAGGGGACAGGTACGGGGAGGAGACCTAGTTCTGTTACAATTCACCTAAAGAAAATATGTAAAAATCCCTTTTAATTTGTGGATCTTCCTTCCCTGGGGTGCTTTTTTCCTAATAATTGTTATGTATTATGGTGGTGTTCAATATGTATAAAAAGAAAGAAAAGGATTGAAATAAAGGAAAAATTTAAGAGAAGTCTGGAACCAGGACTCCCCACCAGCTACCGCTCGCAAGGGATTCCTCTGAATTCAGCAGACTCAGAGCTTGATCTTGCAGTGCTTACAAGAGGAAGGTTTACTCCTACAAGGCTAATTTTCACACACCCCTGGCAGAGTGGCAAACACTTCAGGTTTAGACCCCCCCCTTCACTCCCATGTTAGCCTTCAAAATGGGCTGTAAGCACTAGATGTTCCAAACAGCTGAGCACACGGGGTGCTGAGCTCCATAGATTATTGGCCACACTTTATATAATCTTCCATTTATATGAGTGGGCTATAAAGGGTGAATAAATGGTGAGTACATGTTTTAATAACGGGTTAGTCTATTGCTCAAAATTGTTACAGGGCCCAACAGATCAATAACGATTTACACCATTTTCTACAGATTTGCTGATAACCAAACATTTATGACACATAGCATTTGTGTCTGTAAGATGCCTGTGTCATTTATTAACCCTTATAAAACCATTAGAAATGGGAGCTTCATATAAAGTGTGACCAACTCTGACTAAATGGGAGCTGAGCTCTTCTGAAAATCTGGCCTTAAGCAGGTGAATTGCACCCAACAGAGATTTCATGTGACTATGTAACTCTCATCCACTGAGCCCATTGCAGATATATTGACTGTGTGCACTGGTCCTGGATATGAAGGGCTCTTTGGCACAAGAGTAGCACATTTCTCTTCAGTGTTATATTTATCTTTCCAGGAACAAGTGGGCTGAGAAGGAAGAGAAATTACGAAGAAGGGTCAAGCAGATTCTGGAATGTGATGTCAGCAAATTCAACCCTGTGACCTTTGCCTCTCTGCCCCCTGCTGACTGCCTGCTCTTGTGCCATTGTTTAGAAGCAACTTGCAATGACCTGAGTACCTACCGTGCTGCACTGAAGAACATCAGCTCCCTGTTAAAGCCAGGGGGTCACTTGCTGATGCTGACCGTAATGAAGTGTAATTATTATATGATTGGTCAACACAAGTTTCCCTGCCTCTTTCTGGAGAAGGAGGTTCTGGAGGAAGCAGTGAAGGAGGCTGGTTATGATATTTTGAAGTTTGAGGTGACTCCCATATGCTATCCAGCTAGTTTGGTAGAGCATGAGGGGATCTCTTACCTAGTTGCTTCCAAAGGGAAGGGCAAAGAAGATTAAAGAGAAAATACATCAGCTCAATGCAAGTAGAGAGGCAGAATAGAGTAGCTGTAGATGCTGGTAGACCTGAAGCTCAATGTGCTCTGTGGAGCTTTGATGACCTCCAAAAACTCTGGAGAGCCAGTTTGTTCAGGATGCACGAGCTTCAACCCCTTGTTGTGCCACTAAAGCTGCCTTCATCCCGGTCCTTTCCCACTCAGAGCTGCCATAACGTCTCCCTGGCCTCCAACCCCACTGTGCTTCATCCAGTCTAGCTGCACCCCACTCGGCTTCATCCTCTCCCTTCATCCTCTCCCTGCTCTTGCCATGTTTTGCCTAGTGTCAGGCTACAGCTGTGCAGTTAATCATAATTACATAATGAATCATACAAAGCTCTTCTCACTGATAACGGACTGGAGCCTGCTCCCAGTAGTCAGTGGCAAAACTCCCACTGGCTTCAGTGGTGCAGGACTGGGCCCAATCAGTGCTGGGTTTGGAATCATTGGTGGATGGGGTTTAGAAAGAGGATCAAAATCCATATACAGGCCCAACCACCCCAGACTTTTAGGAACAGACGTTCTGCCCCTGAGCTGCCTCTAGATTCAAATTCTGCAAATAGCTCCATTTGATAATGGGTTGAGCTACTCCTTTCTTACCTTAAATTTTGCAACTCGCTCCCATGTCAGGTGTTTAGCTTTGTGCCTTTCTATGCATCTGCATTAGACTGTAAACTCCTTGGGGCAGCCATCCTGCCTCCTTGAGAGTCTTGTCTCCCGGCACTGAGAGCATGGCTCACACTGAACACATCATCCTCAATACTGCCTATAACCTCGCTGTGATTTTAACATTGATCCGTTTGAACTGATTGGCTTGTGCCTGACAGCTGCATTGGGCCATGGTGTTGGTTGAATGATTTGTTTTGGTGAATAATTGTAATCTCCACCCAATCGGTGCTTGTCTAATAAAGATCTGTTTCCCATATGCAATAATCTCTGGTTCCTGGTCTTATTATTACCTTTGCAGAAGAAGATTTACAGGTTAATACATCTGGATTTAAACTATATCACTATGTCTACACAGGGATAAAAATCCTGAGGCTGGCCCAGGTCAGCTGACCAGGGCTCCTGGGGATTGGATTCCGGGGCTGAAAAATTGCTGCATAGACATTTGGGCTGGGACTGGAGCCCGAGCTCTGGAACCAGAGAAGCCACGGCCATGCCGCAGGTCTTTTATCCCTGTGTAGACAGACCCTGAGTCAGTCCTCTCTTCTCTTAAGGGGACACAAGTGAAAGGATCTAAATTCTCTCCTGAAAACCCTCTAAAGCAGAGTCTCAATGCTGAATGTAAAAGGAAAGTTGAGTGAAATACCACTACACTTTTTCGCTCCCCAAAAGGGGAAAAGCACAGCCAATGTACATCGCCCATCGCTGCAGAATACAGCTAAAACAGGTGAAAAGATGTCACAGATACCATTACTGCGCATTTGGCAGATGCATTCTTGGGGATCCATCACGCATCACCAAAAATGATAGCAGCGGCTCAGCGAGAGCCTGTAGCTTGCTCACGTGCCCTGCCCCTATGCCCCTGAGGCTTCCCCTTAAACACTGACTCAGGTATATTTCATTTCCCCTCTCTTCCACCAACAAATACTTTTCTGCTTCCTGTGGGTTCTGCAAGTGTCTACCTCGGTCTGAAGAATTAAACTCCCCAATGGATACATGAAGAATGCAATTTGCATGTGCAATAAGGGGTTAAAGTGTCAACCGGAAGGACAACCGGTATCCAGCAGGATCAGAGGGCAGGATACAGATCCACTGTGTAAGATGTAATGTCCAGATACGTTTATCCCCCGTTAAGCTACCAGACATGGGCAGGAGATAGTGAATAGAAATGGATGAGAAATGCTTTCTTGTCATGGCCAAACTTACGACATTTCAGAAATGTTCCTGTTCTGCATTGCGAGGGACCTGAAACTTTTCAAGTTTTTCTCAAATAACTAGCAGTAATGAAGGACCAAGCCCAGACTTGCCAGTAGCCTGAGGGGTAGGGCATTCACCTGGAAACACCAGGTTCAAGGTCCTGCTCTGCCTTATTTAAAGCACTGACATAAACTTCTCCCACACCCCCGCTGATTGCCCAAACCACCAGGCTATTAGCTATTCTTAGGTGGTGAATCTCTGCTGTGTTTTGCTTTGTGCTGTCTACACCAATGCTGCATTATAGCTGCAGATATTATAACTGAAACATGATTGCACACCTGGAGATTGTCTTAGTTACCTTTCACCTCTAGTGGTAGGATGAGATGGGTCAGTCATTCTCGTTAAAAGAGCCTGTCAGCACAGCTGCACTGAGTGTAGCATTGTCCTCCAGAAAATTGCCAGCAACTCCAGTTTGTGCTGTGACAACATGACTGTGCCCACGAGTCAGGTGGGTCATCCACAGTCAATGGGAGAGGATGAGGGGAAGCATAAAACTGGGGCTGCTCA